GAAAACAAATACGGGGAGGGGTGACAAAATAGGTGTATACGTCTACATGCTGAATAAACTGTTGTAGTAAAAAAAAAAAAAAAAAAAAAGTGTACAAAACTATATTTTTTTTGTAAAGTACAATCAATTTGTTTTATAAATGTCCCCTTCTTGTATAAAGCAGCCTTACATTTTTACACGTTCCCGGTGCGGTGCAAAATGACTGAGACAAGAATACTATAAATAGGTTGTATGCGTTTTGTCATCACCCTCCATACATTATTTGTAACAAAATTAAGCGACACCTCCCCGAGGATGCATAGTCACGCAATATTTCGGACAAATATCACATTCCCACAAATAAGCAAGAATAATATACTACATACCTGCAATAGCTCAACAAATTATTTGTATTTCTTTGTTTTATTGAGTTTTTAGATCGTGAAGGTGTACTATTTCTATGATTTATGCAGACTATAATTTAAAACACTTGTTGGCTTAAGATTGAACGCCCCTATATCACATACGCTATATGCTTACTGTAAAAGACATCGCGTGCTCTTTTTCGGCAACCTTAATCCTAAATTTTTCATCACATTGTTTTTATTGATTTTGCTGTTCTAAATATAGGTATACGACCAACGGGGTTTGCAGTACATACACTCAGAATGAAACATTTCATGATCTTGCAACATGAACAATATTAGAAACATTGCCGATACGGTTCATATATATTCGGGTCTCGTTTTAGTGTTTTGTGTCACATTTGTTGAATTGTTCATGACTGTTAGTAATGACCTGTCGTTGCGATTGTAAATATGAATTTCAACGGGACTAAGTGCATTCAATGACTTCGTCAGATTCTCTCTCTTTTTTTGGTACGTTTTTTAATTGTGGATGTGTCGTGGTATAGTGGTTCATTAACTTGACTCTCAATTCGAGGGTTGTGGGTTCGAATCCTAGCCCGGCATTCACGTCCTTTGACAAGGCATCAATCGACATTTGCCACTCCTCACCCATACCAGGTGTAAACGTGTACTTGGGAATTACTGGGATAAAAATAACTGCAGGGCCCGCATGAAAATGTTGTGTTTAGAACTGTATAATGTGACGACAGAACGTCATGAATATTGGCTTTTCCTGCACAAGTCCCATACAGTGATACAGCCCGGAGGGCAGAAGGGGGGGGGGGGGGGGGGGAGGGGGGGGGGGCTCGTGCTCTCGTAACGTCAGCCACTTCACACGTTTTGAAAGGTCAAGGTTTGTATGTACGCCCTTTCCCCCACAATGATTAAGCACACAAAAGATTTGGTACAGCTCAAAATTTGTTGTTTTGTTATTGTTTTTGTTGTTTTGTTTGTGTTTTTACATGTGCACAGCAACGATGATTGACGCAAACTCTCTCTTTCTTTTCCTCTCTTCAACAGATGTATCTTATTACAAGATGTGAAGCAATGTCATTTCGTGGGCTATGTTTAACGATTGCTACATGCACTGGGACTAACATGTTCTCTAATTTCCACGCAATAATACAAATATGCAGCTATAAATACACATAAATCATTATGTAGCCAACTCGTTCCCGAGGGTGAATGCACTTATGACAAAAGTCATTATGAACAACGTGTCGTTTTACTGAGCTATAGTACTACCGTTGAACCATACTCAGTAAACTTACACTACTAGTATACATTTGAAGATTATATGCCCAAATCATCGAAGGTGGTTTCAAATGGGGATCATGCTCAAAACCACTAGTTTTAGTAGGAGTGACGAAAAGTTTGATAGTAATAGAAATGGTAAAAAATGAAGGCAAAGCAAACAATATTATTTTACTCGCCTTTATGCAGAAGAGGAAAAAAAGAAGAAGTAGAATAAGAAACTATTTTTAGTCTTCATTTTTCCACAAAAAACCTACAAAATTGTTAATAGGTATGCATCTCTGTCTTTTGGGTCATTTAAGCATATTAGAAAGGTTTGAACCATGATTGAACATGTTAAAGTTTACACGGTTTTTGTGAATTCGTATAAGTTGTGGAAGGACAATATCTGTTAAGAACCAAAGTAATCGTCGGAATTTTTAAAAGGAGTTAACGCCACTATGGCTCACGGTTTTCTATGAAATAGCGCTAACTATATCTAATATTATCTTTTTGTTTTAGGGGGGGGGGTTGGAGATCTTTCATTCACGTACCTCACTTAAATTTATTCATAATCAATACGTTTTGGGGGCGGAGCTTGAAGAAATAGGGAGTGCTTAAGCCCCGAACTCCCTCTAGAACCGCTACTGTGTATCCCCTCCTCCCTCCCCATAAAAATAGATACGCAGAGACTTTCCGTTCGGTACATTTTGGTCAGTTAAATTCTAACTCTTGGTTGGCATTTTTTTTTTTATCGGCTACCCTCCCCCAAATGGAAAAATACAAATTAAATGTACCGCGTAACCCCAACGCTGAGAAAGTGTGTTGCCCTGTATAGCTTTTTGGAAAAGACCAAAATATGGGGTATACCTCGATCGGTCAGTATACGCGAATTCGTTGGCCAGTTAACAGATGTTTTTTCCACCATCTCTCACTTAATATACTCCCAAGAAAGCCGGATCGCAAACTTTTCTACCTCCGTTCATCATCGCTGAGTTGATTTATACTTTATGCCGAACAACTTGGCACCAACATGGAAGCTAGGTTAGGACTGGATATCAGTCAAAAAGAATAGGTGACTCAATCTATCACAAATAATCGGTCAGCGATGCCGGAATTCAAGAGAAACAGGTCAACAACGTAAACAGAGTAAATGTCATGTGGTCGAGTTCGTTTCCATGGAAACCGGCTGAAATGCTCTTATCATTAATTTGTAGCTACATTGTATTATATGCCTTTCGGAACAAACGTAAAAATTGTTTATGATAGATAGAATGCCACTAATAAAACTAAAAATGATGACAAAAAATTATGAAGATGGTGATAATGATGATTATGAGGAGGAGGAGGAGGATGTTTATCTTATCCTCGTCATCATCATCAGCATTATCAACATCACCAACACCACTACCATAATTACAAACACCAACACCACCATCATCATTATCATCATCATTACCAGAACAGTCATTATAATAGCTACATTAGTATATCGTTTTGTTGATATACTTGTTTTGTTGCGATTTAAGTTATCAGAAATTAACGGCGATTTTAGAGGTTTCGTCGTCAAGTAGTTTAATCTCTTGCATGGGGATGCGAAAGTCATGGGTTCGAACCCCGGTAACATAACCTTCATTTACCACTCTTGACTCAATAAACACCTGGGCCCCGTTTCATAAATCTTACCACGGGTACTTTGCCATCAATATCAACTACAGGTACCACGACAACATCACTCAACAGCAAATCAAATCAAGGTTTCCATTGAAGTTACCAGGAATAGAAACGTTACCATCATTGCTAATTTCACGCAGCGGGGCCTTATACTGTAGTAAGATCAAGTAGTAACTTCTTGGTAAAATTGATTAAAGGTAAAGACCAGTATTGGAAACGCCCCAATTTCAAAAAATGAAATGGAAGCTCTCATTACCAATCATGTGAAAGAATATGTTTTGACTAATACATGATGATAACAAATTTGCCGGGAAACCGCCTACTAATTCATATATTTGGTAAATTTGTTTCTCTCATGGTCTGTGAGAGATAAAGGGTAGTCCCATATACATCTTTCTGTGTATAGTGCTTGTAACTTTAAGAAGAATGGGCCAAATTTCTTATCATTTTGATGATTCCAGAACCTTGCAGATGCTAGACGCTAGAAGATCAACCTTTTCTGATCGATTCCACAACGTTTCTTTCACAATGCAATCGCATGACCATAACTGGTCTTTACCTTTAAGCCTTGCTCAATTGCTTCATGATGTTTGTTTACAATTCCTCGAAATTACAGGTGTACAAAGTCATTCTACAAAGGCAATACACTTCTACTAAATACCAATGTCGTGATTCCTTGCAAGACCCGAAGACCTGCCAAACATTTTCAGAATTACGATCCTGTTCCCGTCAGTGCCGAATTGTTTCGGGTGGTCGTTTGTGATGTCTGTGTTCAATTGTCTGCATCAATCAATCTATCTATCTTTACATTATGATTTGAATGCTTTGGGAACTACGCTTGTACAAGACCTAAGGGCTTTATTTATGTAGCTCCCCATTTCATCTTCTAAATTTGTTTATGAATTATTTTGTATCAATTCAATTCTTAACTGAGAATAAAATAAATGAGAATTGAATCGAATTCAATCATTCGGTCCACGAGCATGACATATTTTGTTTCGAACAACCAATCAGAAAAGTACACATCGAGCTGAATTAAAGCAAGAAATCGCAACCTGCATGTTCCATTATAGAGAAAAAGGAAAATAACTATCTCTGTTGGGTGGAAGTGAATTAAGCCCTGGCAATTGGCTGCATTAAAGCAGAGAATAAGAAAAGGAGTCCATTGAAAATTTGCCCAAAAATTGTTTCAAAAACAAAAGAAAATGATTTGCTGATATTTCGCAGACGAAATAAAACCAAAACTGTTGTCAGTATTTATATTGTTGAATAAATAGTTTACTCTATGTTCAATGTGAGCTTCTCTTCATCTCATGTGCATAGAGTCTTTCATAAATTTCACTTTTTCTCCTAAGGATATAGTTCTCAATCCTGTACCTGAATATTATCAATGATCCTCTTTTAGGTATTTAGGCGTTCTTATAACTGATTAAATGATTTGTGGTACTCTTTGAAGGAGTAGATCCGCTTGCTAATACTTTTAAGAGCAAATGACTCTACTTCACAAACGTTTTTAATGAAATAAGCTTAGTGTGCCCTTTATCGGAAGTTTTCATCAAATTTGTATATTATTGTACAGGGTTTTGGTAGAGGAAAGTAGTCTATACAATAGACATGATAGAAAGATAGGCCTATATGAAAACTAATTGTGCCCTTTTCTCTGACAAGGGGGGGGGGGCACATGTATGATATTTCAAATGAGCTTACCTTGAAAAATGGGGCATATCTTCCATACACTGATGGCACCCCCTCTGTTGTACTGACCGAGTGCTAACTCCATGTACAGCATGGGTATCCCTCCGATCAGTAGAAACAACACGTAAGGTATGAGGAACGCACCTGCAGAAAGGAGGGAGGATACAAGATGTTAGTAATAGCGAAAAGTTAGGAATTTAAAATGCACAGTGATTTTCCTACACATGATTGGTACTATTAAAACATAATAATGAGTAAAGTAAAAATTTCAAAGAAATATTTAATGAGGCGAAAACCGGATAACAAGCTTATGTTGGAAACGCTATTAACAAATAAAGAAAAGTTACTGCATGAACATCAGTATTTGAATACTTTTCGTTGTATATCAATAAGGTAATCAAGTATTAAGTATTACTTATTTCTAATTCCAATTATAATTCAAAAGTATGCAAACAGCGTGGAAACATTTAAAAAGTTCATAGAAAGGAAAATAAAATTTCAAAAGAGAAGGATGATTGATGACACCTCAATGAATATTTACCACTACATAATAACAGGCAGAACATATCTCAATTGAAAAATTGAAAAATTGAAGATATCAATTCCATGTTCAGCTGATTAATACTTCTGTCCAATTTATGATTATGATTACTTATTACAGAAACCTTGTTCAATATTTCTTAGATCAACGAAGATGATTTATGGAATGCACTCCCAGACTCATGTAATATGCTGTATGTTGCAAAAGAAAATAAATTCAAGTCAATTCAATTGGTTGAACCTCTGTTTTAGTAAATACCGAACTGGCGACAAACATTTACAAATGCTTAGCTATTGCTTTGTGTTTGTGTTTTCTTTTCTTCTCGTCCAAACAGAAAAGAAGAACAAGGAGTCTCTAATCATTATTTTACTATGTACAATGCAATCCCATGTATTTTATGTTATTTTGTTTGAAATGTAAATAAACGAAATCAAATCAAATCAAATCAAATCAATTGTGAGCCTTGCAACTTACACATACGGTACAAATAATAATATAGTAGTGGTATTGAGTACCATTTTCTTGAGATCATATAAATGCAGCCAACTCCGCCCCCTTTTTAGCATTCAAATGTAAATACAATTCCAGAAAGGATTTAGAATAATCTCCTTGGACCACGTCTATATCAACGAATGTTGAAGTCCTAGATAAACGGGATCCCAGTTCTGCTGTATTTGTTATGTTCTAGCTTTTTAAGCTCTGCATTGTATTTCGAAACTTTTATAAGCAGGTAAGTTTAGTCAAATACTTTCTAAGAGTATACGCAGACTGTCGACAAACTTTTAACTCTGTTGTTGACAGAATTCCCAGAGCAGAATAAGAGTTCTTGAGTTCCTATCTAACTTTATTTATGTTCGTTATCCCGCAGGAATGACTATATATGCTTATGTAAAACAGAATTTAAAAAAAAGAATAGGATGAATTCGAAGGAGTCCGACAAATTTAGCTTTCGGATGGTAAGTAGGCCCTATACTTTGATGTAGGCTAGCAGTATAACGTTCCTTGGCAGCTGCAGAGTTATAGAATAAATTACAGCAGGTTGATACAGTAGAAAATTTCAAGAGTCTCGTTTTCGTAAAATGTTAAAATAGTACAATGTTATGACAAAGCAGTTATTCTTTCTCTTCTCGTCCTTCACGTCTGCTATTATCCCTTCTTTCCCTTTTTTCTGAGCGCATAGGGACTTTAATTTATTTTTGTGATATATAAGAATGGTTTATTATTATTATCATACAAACTATGTTTTTGTCTATAGCTGTACGACATAGTTTTGTGTCTGCAGCTATACGACATATTTTGTTGACGTTTGAGAAGAAAGAGGGGGTCCTAGTTAGAGGATTGTGGTTCCCTTCTCCAGTTCGAGCAGGCTTCGTTTCATTTCAAATGTAATCTGAAGTGAAGTTTCTGTCAGGTTGACGGAACACTGACACTGGTTACTTACGGGAAAGAAAACCACGAGTCTGACTTTAAAGTTCACCTCTCTCTCTCTCTCTCTCTCTCTCTCTCTCTCTCTCTCTCTCTCTCTCGCTGTAGTTTGTGTTCTTGTGGTTTTTTAGTCTTCAGAATTTAGGTTTACTTCAGAAAGGAAGTCATTGGATCACGTAACTTGTAAACGTATCCCTAAACTGATTATGAATTGAGGTATTTTTCACTTTGTCTACTGTCATTACAATGCTTTTCTATATAACGGCATTCACATTTCCAGGTAACGAATATTAGATTGTTTATAAAATATTCGTTGCCATTCCGGTTCGACTATATAGACCTACTTAAATTGTAAAAAATAATAGAACATTATAGCTTTAGAAAAATGGCGACGGAAATTGGTCGGGCGCAATTCCACGAAGTACAAAATGAAAGGCGTAATTGTTTTATTACAGATATATCAAACTTGGAATTCGCTTAAAGGTATACACCACCTTAGGCATAAAAGTCAGTGTGACTTAATTTTCCCATTGTAAGATATACTAAAGGGGTAAAAGACACTCCAAAGTTTAGTAAATTATAATTAATCTATACTTGTTTCTCTTATAAGTAATACGAGTTTGTGCCAAATTGGGAATTAAATGTTTTAGAGATTCGAATTTGCATATTGATTTATATCAACATCAACGATTCTACATAATGGTACTTATGTGAAAATTTAGAATTAGAAATGATTCTCGAGCTCAGAAATCTTAACCATATCCCTCGTATCGCCTCAAAGTTATTTGAAACAGCCATCTGCAATATTATTGGGCCGTTACTACATTTAACATATATACCTGTAACGGCCTTATAGCACGGAGCTGAGGGCAGTTTAAAGACTGATAAATCTGGAAGCCTAATGACGGAAAAAACCGAGAAGGTTTTTTTTCACTCAACGAAAGAACTTGACCATATGGTTATATACTTACATTATATCTAAGCCTATGTCTAGCCAATGGTCTAATTCTAAAGCCCAACTGCAACCTAGGCCCCAATCCTATATCTGTGCCAATATAAATCTCAAAGCCCGGATCACTGGCCTCAACATACTCTTAATCAAAAATAGTCTCACTTTCTTGAAGAACTATAGGAGCTATTTCTTGATACAGAGGTGCTATTTGCTATATACACCAGGGTCGACAGAGACAATTTCAGATGAAATGTCTTTCAACGATATAAACAGCGCGCCATTCGATCTAAGTATCCTTTTCTAAAGTCAATGCCTTGTAAAATATTGGGTATGTCCCATGTTTCATCTGTTTCATCCAGATATAATTATAAAGTAGGACAAGTTGCGGATCATCAAGAATATTACCATAATTACGTGACACAAGGCAAACTGAAGAAAAAAATGACCGAGTGTTCACAAAGCCACACATCGTAAAAATGAAAAAGAACTTTATCAAATATAATTTGAAGTGTAATGTTGTGATTTTTCTTTTCTGATTATCTAATCTATTCTCGTTATATTGTTCTTGAATGTAGTGATTTCTTTTGACGATCCTCTGTTTCAAGCGATGTATAATTTATACAAAACGGTAGTCATGGTTTTGTTCACAAACTTAATACATTTAGCGAGAATGGATTTAGCGAATACATGTATTAGCAAAGTTTCCCCCCACAACCAAACAAATAAACAAAATAGTGTGACAAAAATAAATGGAATTCAAATAATTATTATAGAAGAGTACAACTACCATGAATTAGGCACTTTATCAAACTGATCGAGCCATGTGGAATATATTACTATTGAATGCTAAATCATTAAAAAACATTAATAATTTCATTTGTAATGGACTGGGGCCGACAAGAAAAGGAACAATTTTGTGAAATGTAAGTATTCAACAAAGGACATAATTCAACCATTAATGCTTGAATTCCGAGAAAAAAAACACCACAAACCAACATGAAATTTACAAGGAGTAAGAAGAACTTATAGTTGTTAATTGTTCATAATGTACATGTTGTAAACGTCAAATTGGGCACATCAGCAATCTGTCTATTCCGAGCTATTTGTAGAAGAATTACGTAAAAGAGCATGTGATATACTGATAACATTTGTTAGCTTATTCACACAATATCTCATTGAAAGAGCACAACATCGAACATATTAGATAGCCCTGAACATAATATGAGAGATTCAGTTTATAACCATAAACCGGCGGTGTAGTTACCCATATTAAGCGTCTTGATGAGAATCGGAAGAGGGAGGAGGGGGCAGAGAGAGATTTATACAGTGAAGAACTAAATTATTCATACTATATTATTCATTTCATACCCCTTGTAAATGTGATGTTTTTAGTGTTTTTCGTCACTCAAGGATGAAAGGTGGACTGGTTGAATTGGGGCCTTTGTTGAATACGTTTAGGTGTAAGCTTTAATATTTCACATTCGCAAGAATAATAATTAGGGACAAATCAAATTTTCAAATATTTAATAAAATTACAAAAGTAGGTAAGGGTATGAATAATTTAGTTGTTAGCTGTACATATATAAAATGAGGTTGTTAGACAGTTAAGGTAGAAACTGAAAGAAAACTAATTGCTTGAAAATCTTAGTAAAATTTTGAGAGGCGATGTCAGTTAGACGAATGAAGAATGAATTATTTAATTTGATTTCTGCTTTTTCAACGTTATAAAAAGTAATATTAAAGTTACTTGTAGAAAGAAAGTGCTAACAACTATAATTTAAACTATTGGCATACTGTCTAAAGTAAGCCTACTGGGCAACGTTGTTATTTTGTCCTATAGGCTAAACCTTACTGAGTATCATGGAATAGAGAACAAAGCCAACATGAAAAGCATAATTTCCTTTATATTTTGTTTCCTTCGCGCTAAGGCTATCAAAGTGGTACAACCTTTAGGTGTGCGGAAATATATGTCTATATCGGTAATGAATGCGATAACGTTTAAAAACAAAAAAAGAGAGAGAAATTTGTGAGAAAATTATCATCTTACCTCCCCCGTTCCTGTACACTAGATATGGAAACCTCCACACGTTCGCCAAGTCGACTGAAAAACCAATGACGGATAGGAGAAAATCGACTTTCGTTCCCCATGTCTCTCTCTCCTCCTCCTCTTCCGAATCGTCATCATTGTTCTTTTCGTATTCATCTCTGTCAGATACCATTGTTCGATCGTCCATTTCCATCTCCACCACTTTCGCGTCATTGAGGAGTTCATAGGCGGAGGGGTCGACGGCGTAGCCATCTTTCATGACGTTGTTATTGGGCATGATGCCGTGGTTGACGGCCGGGGCGGTGCCGGCTACTTCGGGGCGGATGATGTGCACCGAGATGGGTTCCTCGTCACCGAGTTCGATCGTCGGGTTGTCGATGCCGACTTCGGCGACGTCGGGACGGTCAGGGTGAGAATTCGAGCTGCCGTGGTCAATGACGTCCTCCGACGGAGCGACGCCGTTGGCGATGGGTTTGGTCTCCATGTTGATGTTGCTCGGCTGGCGAACCTGCACGACTAAGCCTGGAAGATGAGAAAACAAAACGAGTCTCAGTCAAACATCCAAGGGTTAAAAATGTCTCGCAAAGCCGGGAAGCAAGGATCTTTACTCGGCCGAGGTGCTTTGCCTAACTGACTGCCAGAAAGAAACTTTGTTTGGTAAGAAGATATTCGACCTCGTGGAGTACTGCGTGCGCGCGCCTCCACAACTCAGTCACACTGCTAAACCAATTCCACAACAAATCCAAAGCAACCGAATCTTGGTCGTGCGGGGGTAACGTAATGTTTTTGTCTAGCCTGTTGTCGATTAGGGCACCGTTTCACGAAACGGTCATAAGTACAAGTTCACCGACGCGTGTCAATTTCAACACACGTGTTTTAATGAGATGTTGGCGAACTTGTACCAATGAAGTTTTCGTGAGACGCTACCCAGGGGGGCGGTTCACTAAACTTGTCATCAGTGACAAATGACAGTTGTTGTTATAAGCTACTGAAATCCTTGCATCTGATTGGTTATCAACAGATTTGTCACTGATTTTTGACCTTTGTCATTGAAAAAAGGCTTTGTGAAACGGGTCCCTGGTGTAGGTACACTTGGTGTGACAGGGGCCTTAAAGACGAGCCCTGTAGAGAGATGTGACGTTTGGAGTGGAGCTTGGACCTGTTTGGATCTGTATGTCCCTTTTGTCATTCTATACTGAGTACTCCTGCAAACATTGATTTTTTTTTGCATTCTCCATCAGGGTTCTGTTTGCTGGGCAGTGATTTGACTGCGAGTTTCTTAATCTGATATCATTGCTTCAAGAGAGCTAGATAAAGCCGTGGAGTTTATTATCAAGAATCCAAATTTTAATGAATTATGGGCATTGAATCTGACAGCAGACCATGTCCTTGATGGGCGTAAAGAAGGATCATAGAGTACCGATTTTATTTTTCACGCTTGATATGGGATTTAAAAAAAAAAAACAGTACGGTAGTTCACTCATGTGTACGACTAACATTATTTTTAACAGTGTTTTGCAACATGAGCAGGTTTTGTCCAATTCCTGATTACTTGGTTCCCAAAATGATCAGTAGGTCGACATAATACGACATCGTCTAGATTTATAGTTGTGATCAATATTTAAGAAAATTATTTGCTATATATAGGTCAGCATAATTCTACTCGCGTTTCTCACATCTATTCATCTGTCTGTCTTGTTTAGTTTTTGTCTGTGTTTCAGTCCTGTTGCTCGTAGTATTTTCCTGTTCCTCTTGTTTATAGCCATTATTTAGTAGTCAGTAGATTTTATTATACCTATTTATGTTTATATTTTCTCAGTTGTTTAGTTAGTTAAGTTTGTAAGAAATTAAATGTACGCATTATTCTTATCTGACGAGGTTGTTCTTTCAGCTACTCATGAGGGACCTTAAATCCACAAGCTTTGCTTTCAACCAAGGTCACCTCATCTTTCTATTGTAACGCCATATTCTGTTCACTTGTTATATTCATGTCATATTTGTAATGTGTGTTATGAAAGAAAGATAAATAAAGCTTGAAACTTGAAAACTTGAAATTTGAAACTTGAAACTTGAAACTCATTCAAACTAACAAAAACTCATCAGTCTCTTTTGCTCTTCCATGTTAGGCTTTTTAAAAATTGTTTATCTTAGGGAGAATTTGCCATATGAAGGACTCGCATCCATTTCGAATAGTACTACCATTGATTATTCCACTCAAGTTTTTTTCTTCTTCTTGACTTGTCCTAGTACTACTGCTTCAGTCTTTTTGTCCGTTCATTCTTGACATTTTCCGACGGAGATAAGTTAATAATAATGTGCGTGGTACAAACAAGTTATTCCGTGAAAAGACAAATACCTTGTGTCCTATTGGCTATTCAGTGCTTAAGGTTTATAGCTCATTATAAACAGTAGGGTGGCGAATTTAGTTATTTTTATGACATATAAAGCTAAGGCCAATATCTTCACAGGTATTTGTCTGAATTGCATTTTATTTGTTTTAACTTGTCTGTCTCCATAAAAGTGTTGACATTTTACTCTGACTCCAGCTACTGTTTGACCATGGACCTTCGTAGTAGGTCAATACAATGGTTTAACACTAGGCAAATCTGAGCAGATATATGGCGTAGTCAGGATAGTTAAACTTATTTCTTGCTAGTCCTAAGAATCTAGCTCAGTAAAGATGGAGGTTTTGATCCTGCGGTGAAATAAAATTCATTGAGAAGTGCGGGTTAACCCCCCCCCCTCCCCCCCCCCCCCCTGGAAAAAATCGCTACCCTGAGGCGCGCAGTTTGCGCTTAGTGCATTGTAATACTATATATAGAATCTTGCTTGCTATAATGCGCTACATAGCTTAATATATTTATTTATAACCATATCTTGTCTAGGGGTAAATATTTGAACCCCACTTTGGGTGAAATTCAAACACAATTATTGCAGATACGTATCCGGAAATTGATAAATGGGGGGGGGGGGGGGTGCACATAAGAAGCCCCGCATAGACAAGTGGCACTATTATTTTGACCCAAGCATCAGATTGTCCAACCACTATCACGTCATGCGATCTGAAGAAAAAAAAAGTTTATAGTGGTTTTTGCCATTACGATTGTGTCTAAATACAAGGATATAATGCATGACTGACCATTAAATTTAAGGCTACAGTAATAGAAATCGTGATTGCAGTGTCCCATGAACTTTGAGCAAGGCATTATCTTCTCACCCTCCAAATAAACAAATGCGATCAATTGAATTGATGACGATGACTGTTTATAGATTAACAGAGTCCACTCGAAGCCATCATAATAATCATCACGGTTGGGCGTATTCTAAAAACCGGTTAAAACAGAGTCAACTTAAACCCGAGTTGAATTAAACTGGATATAGACTACACTTAAACCGTGGCTTAATTTAGCCGGAGTTCAGAAAACGGGCCTTAAAGTTTTCTTAGTGCAAATGGCCAGACACTGGCTTAAAAATCGATGTACATTATTTCCTGTCTTGATCTTCAATAAGACGACTGCCCTCAACGCTCTCTGCTCCTTGAGTATAGTTCAAGTTTATTGCACCCGGTTCTTATGCTTCGGCGCTGACTCTGATTGCTCTACACCTACCGAATTCCTAACTTCATCTCTTAACCAAATACTCTTCCTAACTGTATTGAAACCTGTACATAGAGACCGCTCAAGTGAGCTAGAAAAGTCGTCTTAACTGGGAGGTGGTCTTTTTATACAAATTAGGTCATTATTAAAAAGCATACAAACCAGACTCGTAATCAAACCTAAAACACGATTGTAGCCGTAACTCTTTATAATATTTGACGAAGTAAAGCTCGGAGCTTTAACCAAAATAATGTCACAGGAGCGAAATGGTTACGTCACCAAATCTGTAACGAATACTGTTACGGTTGCCAATAAAGTTGGAATACTGTATTTTACTTCTTTTCATAAAGTGATTGTGATAATATGGTTTATTCTTGACCAAAGTAGCTTCTAATTATCTTCTCAGGACTTTATCGATCAATCTCTATGATACTGTTTCGGGAATATGCGAATGTGCGCCTTGCATAATTATCAATTATAGATATATTTTGTTACCACTGTTTCCTTGCTATTTATATATTCAGCTGTTGATGTGTAGGTGTTTATGACGTAGAGGTGATGAATAGAGAGGAAATATATAGAGCAGAGAAAATAAAGGGTTCTTACTTCATGCCAAGATGGCACATTTTTCAGAACACTAGCCTCGCAAGTCGATCCTTTGCATTACGGTAGAAATAAAGAGACGAAAACATGTCAGTCCGAGCAAATTCATAATTATTTACATTAATGAATGAGGATGATGTGAAATGTACGTCTACTTAACGTAGGATCTTGGTAATTTGGCATACTAAATACGGCTACTTTTAAAAATAAGAGGGGAACAAACACCTATTCCAGAAAATTTGGAGTATGTCCTTTATGCTTTCTTGACTGTAGGCAACAAGTAACATGTTGCAAAACAAAGAAACATGAGGACTTTAGCGTCGACAGACGTCATTCTGGCTTTAAGAGCATGACAACTGTTCTGTAAATCCAAATCAAATATTTGTTCTACTCTTGATGCGCTATTAATACTAGATCACTCAGCTGGGATATAAATCTAAAGGGCAAAACAAACCAAAATAAGTTTGGTATCGCAGCAATTATAAAAGGGGAGGGGGTGGGGGAGAGGTCGCGAATAGCTTCGGGATGAGGGCACAAGAAACAACAAATAAGTTAGTTATTGCAGGTGGTGGAGGGGTCGCTAGCATTAGCGTAGACGTATAGAGTGAAGATGGGGGTACGAGGGGGGGGGGGGGAAATGCCCCTCTCCTATACTTAGAGTTTAGTCTGAACATTTCACATTCTCTAGCCAGTGGAAAACATCTGTTAGTAAAAACATTTCTGTACCCTATTTCAAAATACTTGTTGTCAATAACAAGTTAAAATAATTGACACAAGTTACTGAAATCAGTGAATTTAATTAGCCTATATACTCAGACGTAAGTCTGAACATTTTTACATTCTGTAGGCAGGGGTAAACATGTGTCAGTAAAAACATTTCGGTACCCTATTTCAAAACACCTGTTGTCAATAACAAGTTACAGTAATTGACACAAGTTACTGAAATGAGTGAATTTAATTAGCTATGGGTACATTTATTATAGAAATTGTAGCACAAGTTAAAATTCAAACTAAGGTTGTTTATATGGCTCTATTAATCGCATGGGCTGCCACCCCTCCCCTTTTCAACATGAAAACAATCATGTACCAGAAAAGAAAATCCATAATTTTGGAATATCTTCAATGTACAAATTCAGACAAAAAGTATCGAAATAAGATACAAATTAATATTTGAAAAGTTTGCAAGTATCCGACATATACCATTACAAAATGTGAAGCAAATACAAATTAATTATCAATGGTGAAAATTGATCAATTGCACATAATAAAAACCGATCTACTTAAGAGAATCTAATACACAGTTTGCGATTATCATCAGTGTAC